TAGTAATGAACTGCGAAGAATAATTTTTCTACGAAAAAATGGGGTGCAGTGTATGTAATTTGTTTGTAAGAATTTTTTTTGTATGTCAATTTAATAAAAATAATTTATTATAATTTATTATAATGTTTTGTAATAAAAATGGTTTTGTTAGTAGTTTTAAAGTGTTATGACAATTTTTATTATATTACAAATTAAATAAATAGCAAATTATTATGGAAGTTATGTATAATATCATAATAATTTATTTGTAATAAATAGTTGATAAATCAAATAGTTTTTTTTCTATTATTTGATACTATTTTCAAACTATTCATTATAAAATTCAATCTCAAGTATTAATAACTTGTTCAACTCTTATAATAATTTTATTATATAAATATAATTGTTTTATTGTACAATTCCAAATAAATAAATAATGAATTATAATACAGTGAATTATCCAATTAATAGAAACAGCTATTAACAATAAACAAAAGCAATAAAAAAAAAGAAGAAATAATTCACAAAAGAAAGAAACCAAGTAATAAATAGGTTTTCAAGCTTTTTATCAAATGATGACTTTTTTGTCCAATCTTAATTCTCAACTCAAATTATAAGAGAATGTTTGGAACGAACACCGGAATGAACACCGGACTAAACATGAATGTTTTTGGAAATGGCATGGGTGGTGGAATGAGCAGTGGTTTAGGGACATCGAGTGGGTTAGGAAATGGGTATCAACAGAACACAGCAATAGGTGGGGGCTTACCACAACAATCGAACTCTTTCTTTAGTAATACCGGGACAATGGGACAACCCAATACCCTTGGAACTCCACAGAACACTTCATTCTTTGGAAATACAAACTCTGCGATGGGGCAACCCAACTCGTTGTATGGCGGACAGCAACCGCAAGCGACCAATTCCTTATTTGGAGGGAACACTAATCCGATGGGTCAAAACCCTGTTTTTGGGAGTCAACCGAACACATCGCTCTTTGGAGGGAACGCGGGGATGACTGGAGGAATGACTGGACAATCCAATTCATTGTTTGGTGGACAACAACAACAACAAC